AAAGCAAACAACATACTCCATACCTTTCATATAGCACTGATAACCTTCTATCTGCGTTTTCTGTAATGTTATTCCAAGTCAAATCCAATACTGTATGATTAACAATGAGGGACAAAAAGCTTTGCCAAGTGAGAATCAATTTGTTCATACAATGCATTCATCCATTATTTAATACTCATACTAATCATGTTTAAGAATTAAAAAGTAAGCAATCATATGTTTTTGTTTTCTTTTGGGATTAGTTTGAAAATTTTCATATGTATTGTGGTGCCAGGAGAAATACGCAGGTTGAGTAAATGATGAGGTAAAGTGTCAATTGTTACCAGCTGGAAATCTTTTCATATGAAGGTAATACTTACATGTGACATCCGCAGGATTTTGATTAATAGAACTCACACAAGAAGAGAAAATCTTCATCTGATTTTCCAGATACTTAGGCTCTGTAATGCTAATTTAAAAAACAGATTATCAGAAGAAAACATCTGGATAACTAAGTGAATGTCTTCCTCTTCTGATGGTCAAATTCCTAAAATCCACACCACTATACTCAGTTATACATTGGGCATCTAAACTTATACCTCATCATACTCAGAAGCAAATTATTTATCTCATCCTAAACACCTGTTTTTCCCCTATTGTTCCTATATTTCGCATCTCACAAAAAGATGCCACTATTTTTGCAGTTGATAAAGTCTAAAATTTGATTCTTCTACCTCTATTGTGTCTCACCTCTAATTAAGCCAGATGTTCTATGGTTCCTACATTATAAATAATTCTCTAACCATCCACCTTTCTGTCTCCACTAAATGTTCTGGCATAGATACTTCACCTATGTCAGAAGCAGATTCTTAACAAAGCTCCCTGTCTCCCACTTTTTCTTCTCTTCTCTTCCAAGCCATTCTCTACATCCCAGGGTGATTGTTTAAATATATAAATCCCTGCCCCAAACCCAGTGGGAGGTCCCCATTTCTTCCAGGTAAACAGGAGCCTTCGATAATAAGGTATGTGGGCTCTTTGTGCTTTAGATAATTGCTTCTTTGTCCACAGGGGTATCCCTTTATCGCAGGTAGGTCCAATATCCTATGCTTCCTTGCTTCTGAGTGTCTTCTTGTGCATTTCCTTTTCACTGCCTCCAATACCTTCTCCTATTTGCTGCTGGGCTTGTACTCTTTAGCTCTACGTGGGACGTCACTCTCTCTTATTTCCACGTTGGGGCCATATACCATTTCTTTGAGCTTCTAGCAATATATGTTTTCCCTCTTGAAATAATTATAACATTGTGAAACATTTTCTATTCATTCCTCTATATTTCTAACTAAACTGGAAGTTCCCAGAGGGCAAGAACTATGTCTTTCTTGTTCACTGTTGTGTTTCCACATCTAACGTAGTGATAGGAGCATAGCAAGCATTTAATAAATACTTGTTATATGAGTAATCCAAGAATGAATACTTATTAAGATTTCAGGAAAATAGCTACATTTCTAAAAAGATTTAAAAATATAAAGGCATAACGAAAGCAAACTGGGAACATTATTAAACAAAAGTATTTCTTCTTTGAAAATTAGAAATGGATGAAGGCAATCAAGGAAAATGTGCCTGAATTTTTTCCCAGTTTTTCACATCAGCCTATATATTGCCAGGGAAAGTAATAATTGGATGTTTTGTGTCTTCAGTTTGAATCTCTGTAAATTCATCTGATAATTTCTTGGCCTTTCCAGAAATATTAACAGCAAATATATATCTCTCAATAGATGGTCAGAAAGAAGGAAAATACCCCATAGCAGATCTGGATTGCTTTTGTAGGATCAGCAGTGGATTTAAAACTATACGTCGCTCCTTCTGTCTAAGGTCAGAAACGGGCTGTTCTGGATATGGTCTGATGCCTAATGCCACTGACCTTCCTGGCCTGAGAACTAATAACAGCTAACATATACTAAGACTTACTTTGTACCAAGGATAACCTTATTTATTCTTCACAACAACCCTGAGAAACGTATCGTCATTATGTAGATGAGAAAACTGAAGCTCAGATAAGTATCTTGTTCAATACCAAGTAGTTGAATTCAAATTATTGTGTTCAATAATGATGTATTCAACCATTAGGTACAGTATCTCCAGAAAGTTTCCATTACAATAAAAATATGTATTACCTGTAAGACGTACATCATTATAAAGAATTTCATAGTGTTATTTTGGCAGAAATTCAGTAACTAATTATATATGAGTAATAACTTTTTTTTTTTTTGGAGAATCCGAGTTTCCTTTACTAGAAATTTTAATTTACTATCTAATGAGGATTAGATCGAAACAAGTACCCTTTTATGCACGTAAACCCAGTTAGTAAGATTGCATACACTTATACCCAACCAACAGGTGCCTGGACAGAACTGAGTGAAGATATGTGCATCATAAACAGGGAAAAGGAAAGTCTTGCTGTTTCAGGCTGGAGACCAAGAAGCGCTCCGGCTCAACCACTTACTAGCTATGCCATCTGGGTCATGGTATTTACTTTTCCTCCATCTCCATTTCTTCATCAGTAAAATGGAGTGATGATAATAGGTCATGGAGATGTTATGAGGGTGAAGTGAAACTGTGCATGGAGTATGGATCCTGGAAGACCAGCCCACCTTACTAAAACAAATATCACGGCCGGGCACGGTGGCTCACGCCTGTAATCCCAGCACTTTGGGAGGCTGAAGCGGGCAGATCACGAGGTCGAGAGATCGAGACCATCCTGGCCAACATGGTGAAACCCTATCTCTACTAAAAATACGAAAAAATTAGCTGGGTGTGGTGGCACATGCCTGTAGTCCCAGCTACTCAGGAGGCTGAGGCAGGAGAATTGCTCTGGTACCTGGCGACAGAGCGAGACTCTGTCTAAAAATAAAAATAAAAATAATAATAAATAAATATGAGTAATATCTTAATGAACGCTCAATTATTTAATTTTTCTGGAGGGAGAGTTGTATTGCCCATGTTTAGATTTACATATTGAGTAGATTTTAGTTTAAAATATGTTAAGGAAATTAATTATAGATAACTCCTACATTTGTGAGCTGCACAGCAAATTATCCCGAAACTATTAGTGGCTTAAAAACACAATGACTTATTATTTCTCAAAATTATGTGGGCTGACAGGGTGGATTTTCCATAAGTCACCTGGACTTAACATGTGTACACCGCCTTAAATCTTCTAAAGGTCTTAATAAGGGATCTTAAACATAAACTCTGGATTTGATCTTTGGCCCATGCCTTATATCACCTTGAGAATCTTTTACTGGCTGATAATACTCGAGATGAAATATAGTTTCATTTTTCATCCCAGTAAGTCCTGGCCTTTCTATATTTCCTTTAGCATTCTGTTTATAAACAGAACAATTCCTTCACACATTTCTATCTTCACATAACTTGTTATATGCAGCTAGAAGAAGCCAAATGGCACTTTCAACATTTTATGTAGAGGTAAAGATAGCCAGATCTACAAAATCTGAGGTAGCCAGAACCTACCTCATTAGGTTCATTTTCTGTCCTTCACATTATTACCAGTCTTTTGCATTTTTTTCTCTGTAACATAATAAGGATCATCCTTCCTCTAACCTGCAAAACGTCTTGCCCATTTTCCTGAAAGCATTTCCTAGTAGATTTCTTGCTGCCTTTCAGTCTCTGTCTACCACTAACTTCCTAGCCATTGCCACGTTTTAGGTTTTTGAGTTTACAAAAACCCTACTTCTTTTTTTTAAAAAAAATCAACTTTTATTTTAGATTTAGGGGCTACCTGTGTAGATTTGTTACCTGGGTATATTGTATGATGCTGAGGTTTAGGGTACAATTGATCCCATCACCTAGGAACTGAGTGTAGTACCCAGTAGCTTTTCAACCCTTGTCCCCCTCCTTCTCTTTCTACTCTAGTTGTCTCCAGTTTTAATTGTTGCCATCCTCATGTCCATGGAATACCGAATTTGGATGTTTCACATCTTCAGTTTGTTAGTGAAAACATGTGGTATTTGGTTTCCTATTCCTGCATTAAATGCTTAGGATAATGTCCTGTAGCTGCATCTATTTCTCTGAAAAGAGCATTCTTTCTTTTTTTTTTTTTTTTGTTTGCGTTGTATTCCATGGTGTAATTTTTTCACATTTTTTTTATCTAATCTGCCATTGATGGTTGGTACCATGTCCACGCTATTGTGAATAATGCTGCAATGCACACCTGTGTGTCTTTTTGGTAGAATAATTTATTTTCTTTTGAATATATACACAATAATGGGATTGCTGGGTTGAATGGTAGTTTAAAGTTTTTTGAAAAATCTCTAAACTGCTTTCTACAGTGGCTGAACTAATTTACATTCCCACCAGCAGTGTATAAGCATTCCTTTTTCTTCACAGATTCACCAGCGATCTGCTGATTCTGACATTTTAGTAACAGCCATTCTGACTGGTATGAGATAGATCTCACTGTGGCTTTTATTTGCATTTATCTGATGATTAGAAATGTAGAGCATTTTTTAGTATGTTTGTTGGCCAAGTGTATGCCTTCTTTTGAAAAGGGTCTGTTTGTCTTTTGCCCCTTTTAAAATAGGGTTCTTTGGTTTTTGCTTGATCAATTGTTTAAGTTCCTTATAGATTCTGGATATTAGATCTTTGTTGGATGTATGCATCTATTTGCAATATTTGCAACTATTTTCTCCCACTCTGAAGGGTGTTTGTTTACTCTGTTGATAGTTTCTTTTGCTGTGCAGAAACTCTTTAGTTTAATATGGTCCCATTTGACAATTTTTGTTTAATTGCAATTGCTTTTGGGGATTTAGTCATGAATTATCTCCCAAGGCTGATGTTCAGAATGGTGTTTCCTAGGTTTTCTTCTAGGATTCTTACAGTTTGAGGTTTTAACTTTAAATCTTTAATCTATCTTGAGTTAATTTTTGTATATGGTGAAAGGTAAGGAAGGGTCTAGCTTCACTCTTCTGCATACGGCTACATAGCTATGCCTGTACCCTTTACTGAATAGGGGGTCCTTTTCCCATTGCTTAGTTTTATTCACTCTGCCAAAAATCAGGTGGCTGTAATTGTGTGGCTTTACTTCTGGAACACTCCATTTCTAAGAGCCTGAATTAGTTGGGGTTCTGTCAAGGAAACAGAATCAATTTGAGTATTGAGCATTAAGGGATTTACTACAAGACTGAGATCTTACATAATTTTTAGAGGATCTGGGGAAGTAAAAGTCTTGAATTAGTTGAAGGATCAGAAAAATCATCTTTAATCAGCTCTCCCAAAGCACTTGGCACAGGATGACAAGTTGGAACTCACATGCAGAATCTGAGATGCCAAGCAAGTCCAGCCACTGAAGTGGAACTAAGAAAGAGATGTGTGTGGTGAAATCTATTGGAACCTGTTACCACCTCTGCTGGTCCTCAGTTAAGCACTGGTTGGTGATCCTGGGGACACTGCTTGTCAGAATGTCCAGCAATTAGCATGAAAAGCTGGCTGTAGAATGATGTAGCACAAGGATGGCGTGGAAACCATCAGGCACATTTACAATGGACAATTGCTTGTTTCTTTGATAAGTGATTCTCAAATGAAGATTCCCAGATGCATTCTACTGCATTGAGAGTGCAGTAGAATGAGTTTCATGATGATATCCCATATCACCATGAACACCTTCCAAGAGTAATAGTTACTGAGAAGCTGATTTAGTTTTGTCTCAAATCTCTCGAAGTTTTCTTTGTCTGTGTGTCTCTCTCTCTGTCTGTTTCTTTCCCTCTTTATCTTGTCTAAACCAGCACCACACAGAGAAGGACATTCTGACAACATATGCTTCAGCTTAACCAAGTTGATAATAAAATGACCCAGCACTGGAGGGAAATAAATGTTTCCGTTGATGAAAGAATGACACTGTTTGATATCCTTTCTTATGCAGGTCTAGGATTTAAGCTGTGCTATTAGGTTCAGGCAGGGCCAAGGCCACAGTTATGTGCCTAACTACAAACAAGTGACCATAGTAGGATTCTGGGACTCTGGGACTTTTAGGATGTCAGGATTAATGCACAGGTACACATGACTAGCTGGGTTGGGAATTGCACTGATAAACATCCTATGCAGAGACTCCAGTGGATAGGTCATTCTTTCTTATGTCATGGTTTATATCATCTAGATCTCAATTTTTCTTATGTCCCAAGAGTTTTAGAACCACCTCCACCCTATACAGAGATTAGTTTTCTAAAACAGGTAATTCAATCATAACCATTTTCTGTAATGTTTTAGTACTTCCCTTTGTGAGACTGACAAAATATCTTGGACATAATAAATTCTGAATGTTTAACATGCTGAAAATCTAAGTGGAGAAAGAGCCAAAGATAAGAACAAGCCACATACCAGTCATAAGGAAATAGGCTAATCTATGTTTAACTTCAAAGGTAAACATAGAGTCAAAGGTGGGAAGAAAAATAAAAACCATCATAGACTAGCTACACACAGGAATTGAATAGGTGGCTGAGCTAAAGCCAGAGTGAGTGAGAGAATCTAGAAAAAGCTCCCGGAAGATGAAACAAGCTGACATCCATTTTTAGTAAGTAAAAATAACGTGATTCATAGGCAAATGAGTATAAAGGTCTGGAGTTTCTGCCTGCTACTTCTTAATTGGGTGACCTTGGATAGGTAACTAGACTGTTCTAGACTCCCCTAAGCCTCACCTTTTGCCTTTGTAAGATGGAGCTACTTCATGGGATTTTTGTAAGAATTAATTATTATACTACACGAAAAGTGCTTAGGGTAGCATAAAGTACTCAGTGAATGTTAATTGCTATTATTAGAGATTATGGTAGATAACATCAGTCTTTTCTAATGTCTTTTAAATGTTGTCAGAGTATAATATTCCTAATTTGTCCACTCATTCTCAGTGCAGTAGCATTATAGTCTTCCTCATCTGATGCTTGAGCCCTGTCAAGAGCTTCTTTTAACATAAATGGCTAGAGGTAGGCAGAATGGATAATTGTGTGTATGGTATATGCATGGCATATATTTCCTAACATGTGCTACACATACATGATCCATGGATTACCTTCATTTACTCCTTATTATCAGCCTGCTTATTTAGAATCTAATTGTGACCATGACTAAAATGTTTTGGTGGAACTGCTTAATGTCCATGACTAAACATATTAAGAAGAACTTGGCTCATATTTCTAATTTGCCCTTGATTTGTTTTGGAAATGTTTTAGAATTTACCCCCTGTTAAAAAGAATTGGCTGATTGTAAGAATCATAATAATAGAGTTTTAGCTTTTATGACTTTCATGCCAGATATGTTCCTTATACTAGCAATCAAGTCATGGCTATTTAGCTTAGGTTGAATTTATAATAACTTTTGGATTACCCTGAATTAAATAAAAATGATCCTAGGAAGAAGACTGAGAATTTAGGCAGCTACAGGTTTTCCCAATACATGGTATCTGGAGTCTAGCTTCTCTACCCTTTCCCTCATTAGCACTTACACTTGGATTCAGCTATTACAGCTTTTGTTATTTTACTTTTCTGCATGCCTTGTATATCTCTTTTTCCTTCTCCTCCTCCTCCTTCTTTCTCACTTCTTGTTTACTGCAATTTTTCAAGGAGCTAACTAGAAATTATCCAGCCTAGTTCCTGATCTTATCCTAAACAACATTAGTGTAACCCCAATGTCAACTGAGTTTGCACCATCATTCAAGGTCTATGTAAATCTGTGACAATCTCTCTTGGGTAAAACAAACAAAGGTACATTGTCCACTTTTGTTTGCTTTACCCAGATGGTAAGTCTGAAGTTCTCAACAAGATTCCAATGGCTGACGTTCTCATGGTTGCCTCTAGCCTTGAATTCCTCTTCCCACTGAACTCTGGTTCTCAAGAGTATCTCATCTCCTATGTTTGTTCATGACCTATGGTCCTATGCTGACCTAATCATCTCTGCTTTCTCCAAAATGCTATATATACAATTCATTTGCAGGTGCATCCGATTTTACCAAGAAGAGTATTGTAGAGCAGCAATAATTTCCAAACTGTTTAATACTCAGCATTAGGCCTGTTTTTCTAGAGGCTTTTGTCCAGGAGCCACCATTAGAAATTTCTTATCACAGATTTCCTGCAACTCTGGATTCCCGCTTTGCTACTTTTTTCTCTCTTTTTCTTCTCTCTTCTATCTCTCTCTCCTCTCTCTCTTTTCTCCTCTTTCTCTCTCTCTTTTTTATCTCTATCTTTACTTTGGAAGTGGTAATGTCTGAGTTTATGCCCTTTCCTATTTCATGTGTTCTTTTAAATTCTTATGAACTTTTTGGACAAAAAAAAATTGTCTTAGGCTAGGCGCGGTGGCTCATGCCTATAATTCCAGCACTTTAGGAGGCCGAGGCGGGTGGATCATGAGGTCAAGAGATTGAGACCATCCTGGTCAATATGGTGAAACCCCGTCTCTACTAAAAAAAATACAAAAATTAGCTGGGCATGGTGGCACACGCCTGTAGTCCCAGCTACACGGGAGCCTGAGGCAGGAGAATTGCTTGAACTCAAGAGGCGGAGGTTGCAGTGAGCCGAGATCACATCATTGAACTCCAGCCTGGGTAACAGGAATGAAACTCTGTCTTAAAAAAAAAAAAAATGTCTTTTTTTTTTTCTTCTGAGATCCTTTCAAAACATGTCCTCAGGGCTCACACATCTAACGCAAAATAGCAGGTGTTTTTCTAAACAAAGACAGTTTTCTCTCTAAGGGGAATTCCAAGCCAGCTGTTAACATTACAATTTTACTTACCCTGCCACCTTTGCTTAAAGAATAAATCAATGAAGACCTTTAGGGATTTAACTTATCCAGAAAAAGGCATGTGTACATCGCAGGAATATTATCACAATATAATTCTCCTTAAAGGTTTCAGTTATGTTGATATTTGTAATCCAGCGGTCCCAGTACACAGAACCATGTTAGAGAAAAGTAGATTCACTGTAGCAGTAACACACCCTTGTTTCTATTCATTATATATCCATACAGTTTTCACAAATGTCTGCTGCTTCCAAACCTGAATCATTGTCCTTGAATCAAGCTTTCATACTTTTTACTTATTTTTCCCTTAGGGTGACTTTTTCCTTATTATCCTAAATGTACCCTTTTCTTCTACAAGTAGGTCAGGTTATATTCCAAACAATAGACTAACAAATAGAAAATGAGGCAGTGATGCAAGGAGTTCAGCCATGTCCCCGGACCATTATAGGAGTCAGGTCATGCTGTTGGCTAGTTGTAGATGTGTCTTATTGGACCAATTAATGACTCTGATTTTTCCTTATGAATGTGGTGTTCCTATGCACGCTAACTGCATTGTTGTCCCCAAAGTTTAAATCCATATAGTTTGAAAACACTTTGCCCACAGTATTAGTAAACACATCTTGATGGAGAGCCCACTATAGACAAAGCATTATGCAAGGAGTTATGCAAGAGATGTCAGAGATGTCAAAGAAAGTGAATCATGCTTCTCTGCTGCTTGGAGCTGGGGTGCAAGAAAAAGTAAGAGCAAAGGTACAGATTTATGTAAGCTATGCTTCCTTGTATATGCACACGTTTCTTGAGTCATTTATATGCATATGCATGAATCTGTACATTTCTATAAATATACATATGATAGATAATCAGAATTCTGATTCTGCAACAATCCCTTGCCACATCCTCGCAGTAGCACGGAACAGCTTGGTGCCCAATTTCCTGCTCTGTGACATGCATATACTATCTACTTTAACTCCAAAGTCCTTCACAATGACCCATTCTTCTCGGAATAGTGCTCTCCTATTTTTCAATACTCCTCCTTAGACTTACATCCTCCAAGAAACCTGACTGGGGAAACACACACATAATCATATGAATCCTTAAATTTTAATTTGTTCCTCTCTTCAGAGTGAGCTAGTCACAACCAGGGGATGGCATCAGGTTAGATTGTAAACATGATCTGGAGTTTAATAGTCTGATTAGTAGAGACATTCACATTTTTTCATCACAGCCACCTCTGTTTGTTTTTATACTAAGCAGCTGTGAAAATGTCTCTCATATAATTCTTCCCTAGGGTCTCCCTTGCTGATTACAATTCCTTCCAGAACTTACCCTTTAAGGCAGTCCCTGCTGCAATTACTGAACGGGCTCCAGTACACTGGGTTACAACTTTGTGAAAGCTAATTTATCAATGATGGGATGCAGTACTTAAGTAATGTGCTTCTTATCTTTCCAGGGCATATCAATTACTGGGGGACTTTGTGTTGTTGTTGTTTGACATTTGTTTCCTACAGTGTAGTAAAAAGATAACTGCATTATGTATGGACTTCTAGTATCTTTCCTTGTCTTAGTCATTGCTGGAAGTTTGTGGTGTGAGATTGGCAATAGGTTCTGGTTCCTCCCTAATGTATGATGCTCCTTCTTTTGTTTCATTTTAGGTTCTTAAAACCAGTCTCAAAAACC